AAACAAATACATTCATAATAGCGTAAGTACAAAGTATTTTATAATGGAAGTTTCACTTTACATAAACTGCATGTAGCCAATTTATGAATAAAAAAAATACAGACAGGTTTCATTGGAAGAATTACAGGTTGCATAATTCTTAGAACGCAACAATATGATTTGGATCATTATTTTGTACATTTTTTCTTTTACACAGGGCATCAAAGTAATTTATATTACAGAAGTAAAAGTAATGAACAGTGACAATTCAGGTACGCATTACAAAATAACAGTCACTGTTTAACATCTATCACGATGATCATGAGAAATAACAAAAAGTATTTTGTACGCAAATATACATTTAATGTATAAAAGAGGCCAATGTACCTGGTACACAATGGCTACTACTTTTATAAATTCATTAGTAATGGGTACGTACAAAAAAATGTAATGTTATAATAGAAATGAAATTTTCTTCAGTTTCTTAGTAATCAGAACTTAGTATAGTTCAAATATAATATACCCCATGTAAATGGAGCACAGAGGGTATAATTTTAATCTATTTTTGGAAATTTTAAGCAAACGTTAATAGTTCTCGTTCAATAAATGGTATTGCGATATTTAAAAAATAATGATACGAAAATATAAGCACACATACTAATCAAAATTTTTAATATAATAAAACAGTTGGTTATGTCGTGTTATGGCGCGTGAAGGTAAATCGTTAAATTGAATTAGCATTGGATATAATCAAGTCGACCGCTGCTTAAAATTTCCATAGTTACTTAACAAAAAGGTGAACAGCCGTCTCATGGTTGTACCATGTAAGATGCATTGAAAGGTGTTAGGAACATAATTTTAATTGCTAGCGTCTCTTAACCGGCCATAGTTGTGTTCTACAGGAGAGGCAGTCAAAACATTAACTCTAAAAAATAATGTAATTAAGTCACATATTGATTATCACTTACAAATTAACTGTCCTGTTGATAGTTACAGACTGGTTCTGTAGCACTTTCCCTTCAAACGAACTGTTACTTGCTCTCCTCGGCCATCCACTTCCCTTAACTTGAGTTGTTGCCATCGCCATTTTTCTCCTCGTTCGCTCTACAAACTCAACGATCCAGGTTCTACCCGCGCAACCGAAGCACTTCTTGTCTTCTCCAATACCCTGACACTGTTTTGCGAGCTAAACAGTGTTGCCAGATAGTGAATTTACAGTAGTATCTCGGAATACTGAGCTGAAATGAGCGATGACGGAGGCAAAGCGCCCAGAAATATGAGTGTGGGTATAGACACTTCGTTTCTCTGATTGGTTGACGCTTCACAGATAAGCAGTGCTGCCCTCATAGTTTTAGACAAAGATAGGAAATGACGAGTAACCAAGAGAGCATACATCAACAACCCAAGCGCGCGCGCGCGGCGCGCGAAACAAATCACGGACGGCCAATGTAGTTTGTTTGACTTTACCATTCCTGCGAATTCACTCTAGTCGCGCATCTATTTCCCTGGTGCTTCATCTGAAATACACAGCGTGATATTCGACTTGTACTTTTCTCCCACAGTCCAACATATTTGCGAACGATTTGAAACGACGACCATTTCTACAATTATTAAAATTTTCGAAAATCCGTAAGCTACATTCGTAGCTAATGGTTTCTAGCTTATGAATCTACAAAATTTTGTTAATTTAGCTGTCCCTTCACTTGTCAACTGGTACGGCTCGGAATCAATGCTCTACTTTGCGAAAAGGATTTTCAAAAGCTTCGAATAATTCCGCAATTTTATACGATTTTCACTTTTAAAAATTTGAAAAACAAAGCTGAAACTTGCATTCATATAGAAGGCGAATAGTACAAGTCGAATATCGCGCCACGTGTTTCAGATGGGCCGCCAGTTGTACGGATGCGCGAAGAGAGTGAAACGGCAAGTACGGTAAAGTGAAACGGCCTAGGTCTGTCGTTCGCGCGGATACTTACGCATAGAGCCCTCTGGTTTCTTTCCGTCTCTCTCGATCATCTCCCGTTCTCTTTCTGAAGCAAGTGCGCGGACCTGGATGCACATCAATGTGATGGGGATAAAAATGCTTACTAGGGTGAGGCATGATTGTTATGTATTGACCAAATATTTCTGCCGGAGAATTTTTATGAATTCAACGTTGGCAATTAAACTTCTTATTGCATCATTTCGTGATTATAAATAAGAATAAACGGTTCGTAAATGAGCAACGTCAAAACGCAGTTGATTTTCATTGAATTCTGCTTCTACAAGAATCGTTTTCATGAATTGTGTTGGCAACAGTGATTAACGTCCGCGGGGTTTCCATAACCGATCGCACGGACGACAACGTCAGCCATTCCGGGATACGCTTAGAAGAGGCAACGTTTGGCGTTCCTTGGAAAAAGAAAATTTCTTTTTTGTCGCGTTCGAATTTGTTTACGTCCATAATTAACACTCGCCGTATGAGACCCGCTGTTTTTGCAGAGTAATTTCGGTAAGTCAAATATTTTAGCGTGCTTCTCAAATTTTTCCATCCAACGTATATAAGTGTCTTTCGAAAATGGCGAATTGTTGGGTAACGCAACGTGAAACTGTATTCGTACTCTAGCCTTAGTAGATCGCCGTCCTTGAGTATAGTGTTCATCGTGCATTAAATTTCCTAGTCCATGCACATTTCTGCCGTTTTCTTAAATAATACGATTAGTAATGAATTTTTCTTTGTTTTCAATATATCTTTTGTGTTTCAAAAGTGTTCGATGATTGGTACAATTTTATTGTATACACCAAAGTGTCCCATGAGTCATTAGTGTTCTCTGTATCGATTATCAACATTGTGTATTATACTGTAAATAATGGTAGGATTGAGTACATTTATCTTATGAAATCAAATATTATCGCTGTTTTATTGATTAAATAATAAAAATTGAATTTTGAGTAGTATACGATCATTATAAAATTTATTCATTTTTTTTAGTTTACACTGATCAATTAAACTTTAATCAAATTGTTGCTTAATCATTATAATATTGATTCATTTTTTTTAGTTTACATTGCTCAATTAAACTTTAATCAAATTGATGCTTAATGTTTTTTTATAGTTACAGTCTGCAATTGTTCATAAGAGGTTTTAGGTATAGTATGGAAAAAATGGTGTGTGTTGCAGGATCTTAGGCATCTCAGTGTGTGTTAGGTGACAAGATCAGGTATCAGCAATCATCAGTGGACTTTTATACAATGACATGGTGCAGTTGACTTCTTTTCTGCTTCTCCATTTTATTGTCCTTCGCTGATGGACTGTGCTACTTGGTCGTCTTTATTCTCGTCAACTTCTTTGCTTACAACGTACGTTATAACTGAGGGTGAAGAAGGAAGAAATTTCTGAAGTGTCTAAAGCAGAAGGTAATACCTCATAAGTAACGTAATAAAACTTAGCTCATAATTATGGAGGGAAGTGTTGTGATTTCACTACAGGCTGATTTTAATTCTTCGTTAACATGAAATGATGTTCCGAGATGGTTATGAAAAATCTGAGAACCGTCTCATATTTACATTTCATGGAAAATATTATATTTTTTTTCATTATATGTTCACATTATCAGGGAATGGTAAGTAATCAATGAAATTGCATCAACGGAAACAATAAAGATACTTAAAACAATATATAGCATAGAAATGGAGAACATTCTTCATATTTTGCATGATTCTCTCATATTCTTCGTTCTCTACAAATATTAATTCTCAACGTCCTGACAACGTAAACTTACCTTAACACATTTGATAAATAAATAGTTTTCATGAAGTATACATATATCATGAAATTTCAATAGTAGTAAATATCCAAATTCATATTTGAAGAATAACAATTATTTTTGAAGCACGTCATTCTTTGTGTAAACCTTTAGATCTATAAATACTGATTAAAAGTTGAATGTTAATGTAACAAATCATAATCATGGATTCTGCTTATGATTACATAAGATTGTGCTCTAAATATACATTCAGAATCTTCAAAACTTATCACAGTAATGATTGTTTATGTTAAACCTTTATTTTATGATAAACAGTGTAACATGATCTTACACTTAGTCTCTTCAGAATGCAGCAACTATGATTATTTGATTCATTTATTATGCAAGAAAACGAGGTAAGTTTATTTATAGTCAAAGGAACTTTACACAATTGGAATATACACATTTTGCAGAGTTCAAACAAGCATTTGCAAAATTATGTTAACTCAAAAAGATTGCTTGATTCTACCTATTAGTACAGGATACTCAAATTATTCATTAACAATGCAAAAACTAGACGAAATCTATTCATTTATTTTTGTTAAATAAATTGAGTTACATAATTAATTTTACTGTAGTATGAAGTATAAGTCGACAAACAGGGATAGCTATAAAAATTGAACAGGTGTTCGGATAGATAACTTACAGTTTGTAGTTTTACTGAAATGTTCTGGTACACAAACCAAGAGAATTTAAAAAGAAAAATCAAGGTTACTAAAGTGAGATATCTGCTGCTCGGTCTCACAACTCTTCTTTGAGGTCTTTGAGTGCTGGGAGTCACCGCCTTCTTATTCGAGTGCGTTTCTGTTGCATGTTCTACGTGGACACAGTGGTCATCGAATAACTCAACAAATTCTCTGAAAATTCTATTTCTTCCTATCGCATACAATGCACTAACTTACAGAGTGTGAATTACTCTCTTTTGCAGTTATCGTGCGCTATTAAAGGGTATAAAAACACCGAAAAGTTGTTGCATTGAAAACGCATAAATCTCTACTATAAGCGAACGACTCCATTCGCCAATGAATTTTAAAACACCTAAAACAATCAATCTTAAATACTCGACCAACAAAATCTAAATACAATCTCGATTTTTTAAATGTCAAACATAAATGCATGCGTAATACTTGGAAGATGTATACACTTAGGTTCCTGTCTTTAATTACGTGATTTATTACCATTTCTTCGCTTGCAAGAAATATTGAGATTGGTGCTGAGCGACGGGGAAAACGAATATGGATGTGAACGTACATGTGGACAACTGTAATCTATCAATTACCTTCTGCCTACACGATCTACACCTTATCATGCACTTCCATCATTGCACTTGTCTATGCGGTCTTTGTCGATGCATATCGGATTGATCGTGCAACACCAAGCATTATCGCTATCGCTATATCTGGGAGTGGATATGAATAACACGTTTCAATTTAATAATTTAATACTTCCTAGCCATGGTATCCTCATCGACCAAAAGAACAAGATTCGAACTCTTTGTTAAAATCGCTCAAATGTTCACGTCACGGCGAGAGGAGATAATTAAGTTACAACTAGACTGACATCAATCAGTTACTCAAGGCTTTACCTTCGCAATAATCGTCGTTAATCAATTACTTAAGAGAGGGCGTACTAAATTTAAAAGTAAACGTAGTACCGTCACCAAATAACCGAAAGTAGAAGAGTGTAAAAAACAGGTGTTTTTCAGTCTCGAAATTGAAGTGGCAGCCCCATCAATTAAGCGCCAGTCGTTCAAAACTTCTTTTGCTTTATCCTCTTTGAAACAACATGATTTCATTACAATATCACAGTATTCCGCAGGATTAACTGGTTGATAGGAAAAATTAAACAACTAATGACTAAGATTGAAAATTTCATCATTTTTATTTCAAATTTAAAAGCACCTCTTGGTCCTGCGAACACAGGCTCCACCAATTACGTGTCTCCTGCGTACTTTTACTATAATCTTGTCCTGCCTCTATAAGCTATAATGATCGATAATCGGTCCGTAGCGTAACGATAGAGAAACATTTTATTACAACATTAACACGTTCACGGTCCGCGTCTGCAAACGGATAAGCACAGCAGTGCCTCGCTAATTGTCGCGACTGCTACTGCATTCGAGATTCTCCGTCGAACACGAAGAAATCGTCCGCGACTCGACGTCTGCAGAGATCTTTTCCCGACGTAGGTTCGACGAACTTCCACGCCTGGCAATTAGTCGGCTGCCCCCGAGAATTGTCGCTAATGAGCCCGAAGTCGGCGACTATTATCGAGGCACCGCCCTGCCGTTAGGGAACATAAACTCGGCACGAGTGATCCTCGCGATACTACTTCGTGCAGCAACGAGCACATGCTTTGGCTTGGTTTCAAAACACGTCGTCACAGCACAACGGGTCTTTTTAGCTTCGGAAGCGCTTTCAGATCAACCATACGGCCGACCATTGACTCGCATTCGTGGGTCAGTGGAATGTGAACGTGTTAAGAAAGGTGAGTGCAAAAGAAGTTTGGAACCCCGAAATCTCTCGAGCCGCCCTAGCTGCATAGAAATATGCGAGAGAGAGAGAGAAAGAGTATGCGTGCGTACATGCGAATGCTAGCAACAATGTGGTTTTGACCAGCAGCTCGAGCGCTAGCAGAAGGGTTCAGATTGGCCGCATAAAAGCCTGCCGATCGGAACCGAGCGTTCTCTTTTCGTTCCCGCCTCTTTTGCGCTTCGATCGCCTACGATTTTTGGAACCGACACGTCGAGACCACCATCTCCGAAACACCACCCCCCTTCTTCCTTGCTCCGTTCTGTTTCGAAAAAATGCGGAAAATCGTTCATCATGTCAGTGGCCAGACCTCGCGGCAAGGTCGACGCTTGGAACAACCGACGTTGTGATGGGACGACTGCTCTGATTCGAGGCGAACGCGCAGACACCAAAAGAGCCAGCCTCTACTGTTTGGCGCGTGGTCGAACCCTTTCGAGGAAGCTAAACTTTCCCGAAGGAGAGGCCAGATAGCCGGCTGCTCGGACGAGGACGTTCTCGTAATCGTCACCGACTGGTGGTCGCTGAAGAAGAGCTTGTTCTGCGCCGCGAGTTTTCATCCCCCCCCCTCGGCCTCACGATAAGGAACGAATCTGCTAGCCGATTTACCCGATCCGGATCGTGACAGGCTCGAAATTCGGATCTAGTCTTTTTCTCGATCCCTTTTTCGTTATTCCCTGTTCAGTTTCCTGTTCGCTGAGATATGCATCTCGGTCTCGAGACGAGTCTGCGAACTTCGAGAGATTAGAGCATTTCTTGCGACCTGCAACCTGCCGAGAAGCTTTTTATTTTTCTTTGTTTTGTTTTCAACGCCGGAAGCTGGCTAACACTGTCGCAACCGGTCCGTTCTCCTCGCTTTTCGAAGATCGGATTGGGGGAAGGAATATAAGTCCGATGCTGCTCGCCGTTGTTTTCTTTTTTTTGTTTTTTTTTTTTTTAAGCTAATCGGAAGTACGTGTTATTTTTTATTTTAATGGAAAGATGTTTTTCGTTTCGTATGTAAGAGTAATAGGGGACTGGCTCTGAAAACTAATCCTGATCGAACACTTGCTGTTTCGAAAGTTGAATAGTCCTTTCTGCGGTCGACCAGGCAGGAGACTTCAAACTTTGTAATCAGACCGTCCTTCGCCCGCATAAATCAACCTGAGTAAATTGTGAAGACAAGTAGAATTGATTTGACGCGTTTGAATCAGCGATAAATGCTAAACGCCGTTGCAGATGCTGTGGCGCAATTAAACATACAGATAGTCTGCGGAACGGATAAAGAAATGATGGAGTATTGAGAAGATTGACACAGTTGAACTGTGGACGACCGAATTCGTCTTTCTCGCTTGGTTGATATTAATAATGGCATCAAGTACATCGCAAATATTTCCATATCTTTCACATTAATATACGCATATATCTATTGTGTGTGTGTCTAATTAATACTAACGCCGAACTCACGAAGCAATCGAAGTGACCCTACAGTTTCTTATAAAGCCTGGAGCACTGCGTTTCTTGAGATTTGATGCGGCTTTTATTGTAGCGTGCGCGCAAACGAACGAATTTCCTGCGATTGCGAAATGAAAGATCTGATGCAAGTCGGCTTGGCTCGATCAGTAGATGTATTTCTAGTCAAATCTGAAACATTCGTGGAAAAGTGTTCGATCCAGTTTGCGTCGCAAAGAATTTCGTCCCGTGAGAACGTTTCGAATACTCGTGCGCGTCCTGATCCTCTCGAAATGTTGATTTTCTCCCAACTACATCCTGGACTCACCGCTTGGAACCTGAGGAAACGGAGTTTATGGCAATCTCGTCGTGGTGGTTTCGTCAGAGACATCGGAAATTGCGTTTCGATTCGATGGTGTTCGCAGTAGCCTGTTCCCTTAGCTTCGAAATGTTAAGGTTCGGCCATCGATCGACTGCTGATTACAATTAGGGCATTTACGTGTCTCTGTAGATTGGTTTACTGAATTAAAAATTGAAGCTGTCCATGGAGGACAAACTGTCTACTTCACCATCGTGCACCACATGACACGAGAATAATGAAAAAAACTTGATTATTGAGAGACCTCTACTGAGAACGGCGCTATTTTGATAAGAAAACCATTACTTTGGCTCCATCCGTTCAGAAACCTTCTCGACGTCGAAAGAATTTAAATCTTTTTGCCGCTATTAAATGTTTCTACCATTTATCCTTTAACTCCATGTACTATTAAACATTTAATTTTTCGCTACAGTGACCGTTGGATAATTGAGACATCGATTTTGAAGTCTACCACATATTCAAAGTCCTTAAACTGAAAATCTGCGCGCTATGGAGATATTAATACATAAAATTGCAAACTTGTTCCTTCTTTTCATTACACTTTTCGATAAAATGTCAATAATAATTTACTATTTGTATACACGGTTTAATAACATACATTTATAATGATTATATAATCTGCGAATTCTCATTTTGAATCGCATTAATTCTTTTCTCACGAATTCGGTTATAAACATAGAAATAAGCAAGATCTTCGAAAAATTTTGACACGTAGAAACTTCGTAAAAATGTCGCATCTTTGGACTCCGTCGCTTTTAAACGTATTCGCAGCCGGTGACGCAATATTGCGCGTTCGAATCAACGGTAGATATATAACGTTGACGCATTATTATTTTTCCTGCTAATCGATATATCGCATACTTGCAAGTTTAATATTAAACCCGTTTAAACAGCCACCGCAAGAATTGATTTTAATCACGGGGATTAACTTCGCTTAATAATAATAATAATAACTTCACTTAAATTGGTCCAAGTATGATTCATGATATGTTCGAAAATTGTTCTTGCATTGTCCGAGTAGTTTAGTCATTCTGGTCATCGTTCGTGTTATGACAATGCGCGCACGCACTATCGAAACAATAGAAGAACATCGGCCAATAATCTATTAAAATCTTGAGTCATCGCGTAACAAGACTGTCGTAAGATCAGAGGCCATTGTTATCGCAAATCGGGATCCTGATCCCGGTTCGATTGATTCACATTTTAAGAGGCGGGTTAACAATGGCAGTTTATTGATGACGATCGTTGCAACGTGGGAGGACGATGATCTGTGCTCGGCAAGAGCCGCAAGGATTCAGGCGACCAATTGCTACTCTCGCCTCGCGATGATCGACGACTCGATCATAGTGATCCGAAACGAGGGACTTCCGGATAACGAGCGGTTTCGCCTCTGTAGTTGAATTCATTTCGGCATTCGCACGCGATTCGTTTCGTTCTCTCCTTCAAGATAATTAAACTATATAGATCTTACCACATACTAGACTTATTAATAGATCACGCATGTTCATGCGTTCGAAACATATATCAGTGCGCGTTGCAATCGAGTTTTGTAAAGGTTTTACATTACTGAATGTGTTTATAACAATAGTAAGCGTTTGTTGACGACCTTTAGAGATTTTTCCATGGAAACTGGAATTTTCAGAAATATCCATATATTTGATTAATTATTCTTCGATGGAAACATGTTTAGCGGAGGATTTTTATTTCTCTGCATAACTACGTTCTATTTATACACACGAATAATTAGTTCCGGTAATCGTTCGACCGTCTAGAAATTTTCTACTCCATCGATTCGGATTATCTGCATTCTACGATGTTTCATAGCAGTGTTTCCGCTTTTTGGTTCGCCGAAGGATTAATAAGCTTTTTAATGCAAATTCTGCCGAATGTGTTGTTCACCTCCTCCCCATACGGAGTCTCCGGATCGATGATCGTTTTCGAATCTGGCCGAAACTGCGTCAATAGAGGGCGCACATTTCGATTCGCTGAATTGGTTTACAAAATCGACCAAGTTTTACGACACTTTTAATAGATAGATGGGAGGCTATTGCATCAGTGCCGTTGCGTTTGTTTTATTACGCGATAAAGTTAACGGATTTATTGCTGCTAGATGGTTCGAATGCCCGGCGGAATGCTATGAAACAATAAATGTTTCCGGGGTGTTATAGTTCGCTTTACCATCCGTCCGAAGTTTTTATCTGTCGCACAGAACGAGCTATTAATTTCTCAAAGGTTCACGATTTAAACGGAAGAACAAATCTTCGCTGATTCTTTGCAAATCAAACGGTTTCAAGCGATGATTGGGTCTAATCAGGTTCCTATCCTTTGATTTTTAGACGTAATTTTTCCGGGAATAAACGATGACTGGTCTGCTTCGAACGAAGCTTCTGGATCAACACGAATAGAACTCCGAACGTAATCACAGAAAACATTAATAAAAGAAACAGCTATAATCTAAATTAAAACTTTTGACAACAATTTTGAATGCAACCTTTATCCGAGCTTGTGTAACTAATTCCACCGTGCTGCTTCTAATAATTCGATGAGAGTTGATCAAAGCGCCTAAATGTTCCTAAAAAGTTAAAAACAAACGCCATATTCGCAATTTTCACGCGATACAGAAAATTTACCATTTTATGATTAAAAACAAACGAAACAGAGCAATTAAACTGCGGGCCGCAAGTCTACAAAACATCATTGTATTTACTCAAACATAGAGCAAGAGAAATGAGATTTCTCTCGACGTAGTAATCTGTTAATTACGCATGTGAAATGACACAAAAATTGTGAACATTTCTTCACTCGCCGATGCGCTCTCAAAAATCGAACCCACCGGTATACGTCCGACGAAATGTCGGTCAATTAACGTCGCTATCGGCCGATCGTCTTTTCTTTGTCATTATTCACGCTTTTGCCGATCCGGGGATAGTCTCGCGAGGCTTCGTTACGTCACGCCGAGTGACAACCAGATAAGAGACAAAGTGACTGGAACAATCGCGCGATCGAGGTCGCGGTTACCATGATTTACGCCGACAAGCATCGTTGTCAGAACGATTCTCTGTTTCCGGAACGAATTACTTGGAACTGTAAGACGGCTCCGAGGCTTAAAGGCCTAAAAATATGCGGACCAGTAAAAATGTACGCACGAATCATGCGAATTCTCCAGCGCCGTAACAATGGCGCGATGCAAAATACGGCGTGAGAACGAGGCTGGCCTCGTTCGCCTTTTTCTACAAGATAATTACTATACTTATCACCGAAACAGCTCCTTTTTTAAAAATAGGTACGAGCTGGAACTGCTGAACATAAACAACGCGATAGAAATATTTATTGCAAAAATATTGATTAACGATGAACAGATTAATTATTACTTGTTGAAATGTATCTTTGATATGCCGAGAGCTGAATAGAAATAGTAGGAATATTTACTATAAAATTAGACATACTGAAAACAACACGGTATGCTTAATTTAAATATGAACAATTATTGAACAAGACAATTTTTTAACACTGAATCGATAACCTAATATAATCTTTCTATTACAATGCATTGTTGGATTAAAAAAGTTATTCAATCATTTCCTATGGAAGCGACTTTATAATTTCAGCAACTTTAAACAAAATTGTAAAACCGGCTTTTTCCTTACCTCTGCTCAGTAGATTTAGTGTCGTCAACGTCAAGATCAGCAGTTGACAAAGAGCGTGCGGGACTTTTACAAAATTAGACGAAGAATTTTAGTCACTTTAAACATTCGAATTTATTTTACTTCAAGCTTAGGGTCGTTATGCAAAATAAAATTTGTCCGCATTAATCGCAAGATGTAGGAACTACAGAAACATTTATTTCTTTTCTTAATAATTTCGATGAGTCGCAAATGACACACAATAATGTTTTTAAATTTTCTAAATGTTTTTACCGTTTTGAGATTGATCTACACATTTTTGTCACGTGCACGTAAAACCTGCAATCTGCTTATTGTAACCTCTTAACAGAGAGCTTTGGATTTCTCCAATTTCTTGAGATCGGAGCGCTATTTGAAGCAGAAACAGAGGAAAGTGTATGTACAGTAAGAATGGGAAATAAAGGGATGATAATTGTGAAATTTGACTTTTATTCCTTTTCGTGCACCCTTCCCGAACATAATCCCCGACTTCGAAGCACTGTGCGCAGCGACTCGATCATGGGAGACTGTTCGAACCTCGGTGTTAATACGAATCGTTCGGCTCGGTTGCAGATCCGTCGAGTAACACAGTCGAGAATGAGCGTCATAATCAGGCTACAGAACTTGGCATGGTCCGCCAACGCTCTGGACATTCGCCAATTTTTCAGAGGGCTGAGCATACCGGAAGGAGGTGTCCACATCGTCGGCGGCGAGCTGGGCGACGCGTTTATAGCGTTCAGGTAATCAAACGTTACATATATGTATCCACTAATAGAAACACACCGTACTATTGCGCCCCCTTCTATCGTTCGCATCGCCTCCTCGAGACACGGGGCGCTGATTTCTTGCACCGCGTTCGATCGTTAAATGCGCTCGGGCGATGTTCCGAGGCTGTTTTGCGGGACTTTGGGGGCTATTCGTTGCCCTGCATCACGGCGCAACAAGTGGTTGCGCCTTTGATTTCGTATTCCCGCCGAGAAGTTGACTATCGATCGATAGATTACGGAAGTTCGTGCAGTTTTGAAGAAACCGAGCGTGCAATCTGCAAATCCACTGCTTAACGTCGATTAAATAGCTTGACGCGATCGTATGCTGCAATGTTAACCTTTTAGGCACGACGCGCCACTATAGTGGCTTGCTCTAGTAGCTCACTCGCTCATCGTTTGAATCAAATAATCGTCTTCATACGCATTGTTTCACACTTCTTTTGTCTTCACATCGATTTACAACAGACTACAGGGTGTCCCAAAAATGTCTCGCAATCCGGAAATGGCGGATTTCTCGGATCATTTGAAGCAACTTCTTCCTTTACAAAAATTTTCTCCGAGGCACCGTTAACGAGTTATTAACGAAAAACAGTGAACAATAAAAATCGAGTACGGCTGACGCGAGGCGGCCCAGCCAACCACCGCACGAAGCCCAGTTCCGCTCATTGGCTCGATCGCCGCGCGCCAGCCGAGCTCGCCTCACATTGGTCACTGTTTTTCGTTAATAACTCGTTAATGGTGCCTCGGAGAAAATTTTTGTAAACGAAAAAGTTGCTTCGAATGGCCTGAGCAACCCGCCACTTTCGGATTGCGAGACATTTTTGGGACGCCCTGTATATACAGTATCAGACTCTGTACAGTACACATCAGACTCTGCCGTCCAGAGAAATAGCCTCGCGCAGAATTCAGCCGTACCTAAAAGGTTAAAGATCAGGATTAGGGCCAACCCATGTCTGGCACTCTTTCGGCNAGTAGCTCACTCGCTCATCGTTTGAATCAAATAATCGTCTTCATACGCATTGTTTCACACTTCTTTTGTCTTCACATCGATTTACAACAGACTACAGGGTGTCCCAAAAATGTCTCGCAATCCGGAAATGGCGGATTTCTCGGATCATTTGAAGCAACTTCTTCCTTTACAAAAATTTTCTCCGAGGCACCGTTAACGAGTTATTAACGAAAAACAGTGAACAATAAAAATCGAGTACGGCTGACGCGAGGCGGCCCAGCCAACCACCGCACGAAGCCCAGTTCCGCTCATTGGCTCGATCGCCGCGCGCCAGCCGAGCTCGCCTCACATTGGTCACTGTTTTTCGTTAATAACTCGTTAATGGTGCCTCGGAGAAAATTTTTGTAAACGAAAAAGTTGCTTCGAATGGCCTGAGCAACCCGCCACTTTCGGATTGCGAGACATTTTTGGGACGCCCTGTATATACAGTATCAGACTCTGTACAGTACACATCAGACTCTGCCGTCCAGAGAAATAGCCTCGCGCAGAATTCAGCCGTACCTAAAAGGTTAAAGATCAGGATTAGGGCCAACCCATGTCTGGCACTCTTTCGGCAACCTAGATTTTCGTGTAAACAGAATTGAATTTTCTAGATCATCTAAACCAGCATCGCATCCATACTACTTAATGATGGATACTCGCTGATATTGGAAGCAATCTTGTCAATAGTACTCGATGCAGTTCGAAAAGAACATATTGTTGCCTTAGAATCTACAACAATCAGATTGTTAATATGTTACCTACCGACGATGATTTTATAATTTTTCAAAGTCCTCGATTTACGGTTAAAAGCTTTTTAATGAATTGTTCGTCTGGAATTATCATATTAAAAAAAATTTTATAATTCCTCTTGGTAGAACACAATAATTGAAAGTCCTGTTCATAGGCTTCCGGTGGATAAAGTGTTAATAAATATAGTATGTAGAAATACAGAGATTGTTGTAGGTTGATTGATATTATATATAAATTAAATAAATGTTTGATTATTTGTCTGAACTATTAATGCACGAATTTCTGTAATGTATTTCTAAGTATCAGTACTTAAACTAATCTGAACCTAAACTAACATTGTTCAAGTTACTAATATTATTATAAAAGAGCTCACTGTTGAACGATGTTTTCCATGCTTCATTGAATAGGAAAGCCTAAAAGAAGAAATAAGAACTTGAACTACTGTCACGCGTTTTACATCGTGTCTCGGGCCCAACGTTGTTGCGCATACGAAGCGTTCAGCGGTAGTTAGCTTCCTGGAAGCCATGATTTTCCCATAATCTTAGGCGCGCCGAGTAATTTGTAGTCGTAAGAGTAGTCACGGAAGTATCGTTGGCGCTTTTAACACCCTGTACAAGAATAACTCGACTTAGAATTGTCTCTTTTCCGATCCTCCGTAGAATAACTAAACTCCCCGACGCAACAGTACAATCTCGAAAAACTTGCAATTTCGATAAGAAATTAACTTGTTTCTGGCACTTTATAGTCTGAACATTTTTCGAGACGATGAACTGACACGGCCAATCATTTTCGCAATAGAGATCCTGCAAACAGAAATTTTATTACCCAATTGATTTATTCACGCCCCTTTTATGACCGTTTCCGTTATTCTAATGCAAGTAAACCTCGCGCTCCGCATAGAATGGTAGACTCGAGGTTGGGAATGTTAGATTCGCATGCAAATTTCTCACGACGCTGTTTGCGGCGCCACCGGAGTTATGAAGCGTATCATTAATGTCGCCGCAGCGGCGCCAACGGAGTATAAAAGGGTTAGCATGAAGTTTCAAAGAAAGCGAATTTTCCGTAAAATGAGAGAAAACACTGTATTCGAGCACGAGCGGTCTAACGCGACCCGTAGCGTGAAAACCGTTCCCTCGGTCTAATCCCGACTGCACTTTCAGTACCGACGAGGATGCCCGGCAGGCGATGATGCACGACGGCGGCAAGATCAAGGAGATGAAAATCAAGCTGTTGTTGAGCTCGCGGACGGAGATGCAAAAAGTCATAGAAGCTGCTAGGCAGCAGACCCTGAGCCTGCAGTCGTTCATGCAGACAGCGCCGGTTGCAGTGGCGCCAGTGGTTCCCAAGCCTGGGTCCCCGGGCGACAGAAGGGAGAAAGAGAAGGACAACGACAGCGAGTCGAGCAAGGATCGCAAGGACAGACGCGACAGGTCAAGATCGAGAGACAGATCGAGGTCCCGTGACCGGGATAGGGACCGTGATCGCCGTGACAGAGACAGAGGCCGTGATCGTAGGCGTCGAGACCGAAGCAGATCCCGCGACAGGGAGCGGGACAGGAGGGACAGGCGCCGTCGTCGCGACAGATCTAGATCCCGGGATCGCACGCGATCCAGAGACAGGGACACGAAGCGCAGCTCGACGGGAGAGCGCCGGAAGGAGGCGAACGACGACGACAACAACGACGTCGTCTGCGTGGGCCAGTTTCACAAGGACAAGCCCGTTTCTGGCGCGAAGAAGTCGCTGGAGAATGGCATCTGGGAGGTTCCTCCGCAGACGCAGATGCAAGCTGCCGCCCTGTTAGCCCCTGGAATCTTGGGTGCCGGAGTCGCAGCGATCGCACAGGATGGCGAATCCCGAGCCATGAGCTTCAGCAGCTCGGTGATCGGGCAGCAATCGATGCTCCAACCGAACCAGTTCCCCATAAATGGAATAAACGGCGTGAGCGGCTTGATGCAGTCGCATGTACAGACTCTCAGCCACACTGTCAGCATGAACTCGCTCGCTCAGAATATCGGCAGCCCCAATCTGCCTAGCTTGACCACCGGCGTGGCTGCGCTGAACCGAACCAAGGAGTCGTGGAGCCAGGGCGAGCAGGGGAGACTGGACCAGGCCAGGTTCCCCGCTAGAACTCCGCAATTCGGCACGGAACTTTACAGCCCGAACGGGTCCGTGAACTACAGACCCGGGATCAGACCGAATAATCCTTTCCTCAGCAAGGTTCAGGAGCTGGAAGGCCGCCGAAATCCGCACGCGTTCCAGGCGAACAACGCTCAGTACGGTTTCGACAACGAGAGGCAAAGCAGCCGGAGCACGACCAACAGCTCTTCGAGATTCTCCGGCGAGAATAAGAACAGCGCCGGCGGCGGTGGCGGCCATTGCGTGGAGGTTCGCAATATGCCGTTGAGCGCCACGTACAACGACGTTCGCCACGCTTTCCAGGGTATCTACATCAGGAAAGACGGTTTGAAGCTGATCAACGACAACCACGGGAACCGCGTCGGTATCGCCTACGTCAAATTCAGCAAGGCGGAGGGCAAGGAGTTGGCCTTGAGCACGACCAGATATGTTCGCAGCTCCGAGGTCGAAGTTCTTCATCTAGACGAGAGTCTATTCGACAAGGCGGTTGACTCTTACTCGCCGGAGAAGGAGAGGGACGACAGCGCCGATGACGTCAGATCATCCGCGTGCATAGTCTTGACCGACCTGCCTTCTTTCACCAAGGAGATGGACATCGCGAAGCTGTTCCACGACTGGAAGATCAACGACTTATTCATCACGAACACCAAGGACTCCGGTAACGTGCAGGCGTACGTGCAGTTCGCAAGAATAGAGGACGCGAAAGCTTCGGTGAACGCGTCTCTGAAGATCGGTAGCAAACCAGTCACCGCGACAGCTATTACGGAGGAGAAGTTCGCCCAGGCGAAACGCGATCACGAGCAAAACAGCATGAGCCAGACCACGGGCTCTGACTGCGTGATCATGCGCGGACTGCCCTTCCAAACTATCGATCGCGACATCCTCGACTTCTTCTCTGATATCGGTATCGTGCCTCACCGGATACACATGTTGCTCAACCAAAGTGGCAAACCCGCGGGCGAGTGTTTCTGCGAGTTTGACACCACCGACGAAGCCCTTAGGGCCACCGCGAAGAACGGGCTGCCCTTCGGCAAGAACGTGCCAACCATAGAATTGGTGCCTCGAGCGAAAATGCTGGAGACACTTGGCATGGTCGACCCGCAGATCATGGAGACCCAGCAGCAGCATTTTCCTCCACTTCAGGAACAGCGGCCGCGCTTTTCCGGTCCTATAAATCACTTGCCCCGTTTCGGCAACACCGGCTTCGGACCTAGATGTCCTCCAGGACTCATGGGCATACCGAGACACCTGCTTGGCAGACACCCCGGTTCCATGGACTACGTCGAGGGCTTCGGCAAGCCCGGCTGCGTCCTGTCTTTGGAGAACGTCCCGTTCAAGGCCGACATTAACGAGATCATCGAGTTCTTCGGTGACTTCGACGTCAAGAGAGAAAACGTGATTAGACGTTACAATGAAAGAGGCATGCCCACAGGAGACGCCAGGGTAGCGTTCGCGTCACCCAGCGAGGCCCAAAGAGCCCTCAGAGAGCTGAAACACTGCAAGATGAGGGATCGCACCATATACATGAAGCTCGCGTGAACTGGAGAGACGATCGAGCCGATTCTATGACTTTTGCGCGATCGTGTGACCAGTCGTGATCCCGAATCAGTGTTGTTGACGATGCGACACGACTAGAAACATTTTGGACTGACTATATACACTGATTATTTTCTACGGAAACAACTTAGAGACGATAGTGATTCGCTCGGTTGGTGGGGATGGACGCTCGAAGAGTGATTCTTTGTTGAAACGATGAAATGTCCTCTCGCTTGTCCAGACATCTGTCCCCGTGATCTTTGTTCCTTTCTTCACCTTTCCCATATTTTCCTTTTGTACATACGGATGCTTCCTCTTTGGACGACTGTTTTGACTCGCTGAACACCCTTCTGTTGTCACGGTTGTTGGGACTGAATTCGATTGCTCAACTTTATGCAATGTTCACGTTGAGTTTGCCTATGTATACGACGACAGAAGCAGAGATTGTCCTCTATCGAAGGTTATTAACCAAAGGTATGATTCGTTTTATACGCGGAGTTCGTTTTCACTTTGAACTCCAAGGTTAGGCCCCGGACCTACCTTTTCGTTCGATTACAGTTTCGCGTGTAGTTCAACGAACGTTCAACTAGTTTTCTATCGTGTTGAAAATCGGGGTATGGTTTTTATCCCATCCACCATGTACCACGCTCGGATATCTGTTCGCGACGCAATTCCGTATCGGCACGCGACGTTCGTTCACCTAACTCTCCGTATACTCTTAACGAGATCGCAATAAAAGAAGTACAATAAAACGCTTGTTCAGTATCATTTCGTGGCGGTTTCTCATTCTCCCTCGATTCGATCGCAGATGGAACTTTCGGTTTTCCGTGCTCGTTACAGAGATTTTCGCGGGAACATCTCGGGCCGACAATATGGCCGCGCAATCATATCATGTGAGTGTTCAGCGTCATCGTAAGAGCAATTTAACGAACACCAAGCGAAACAATTACGGGTGTACATAAGAAGATGGAGCGTCGCACAACGAGCACCGGCAAACAATTTTATCTGCACTCGAGATCGAAATCGTTTTTTAAATGGAGGATCGCTGGTAGACTATTAAATATGGCGGCAGCAATTACGAACGCCATATGTTTTCTGCCAGAAATTATGTATGTACATTACATATACCGCATCACATCGATTTGTATATAGGAAAAATATACACACATATATATATATACACACACACACATACACATACATAAAGACAAGTAAATATAGGTGATTACCGAATACTATAACACTTCGCGTTAAGTGTAAAATAATATTTATACGGTGAGTGTATGAATGGAACGTAGGTGTACTTACTTGTTCATTTTAACGTATGTTTCTGTTTAGTATAAGCACTTGAAGACTACAATAAATTTATATTTACATCGACCATTGCATTCCAGTATTTTATTTGCCTGATATCGTTTCGTTGTCTCTTCGTTAAAATAGAGTACAAGATGAGCTGTGTGTGGATCCTATAGGGACAATTCTTATGACCTCAAGTTTATGAAACTTGAACGATCTTACAGTCGTCAGGCTCAATAAAGATAGCATCAACGTCAAGACAATCGAGACGTGCAATCATAGATTCGTGCGATGTCTTGTACGGACAATAGAATTCTAGGGCTCTGCAAAAATTAATCGAGACTCCTAGAATCTCATCGATCACTCGAGACTCCTGGGATCCTGATGTAGATCATTCACGGATAATTTAATTTGTCAGCATCAATTTATTTAAACTCTAATTAATTAATTATTATAATTAATTAATCTAAAATTTTTATTTAAACTCTAAACAATTTATGGACGTAACATCCCGATAATTGCAAGTTCTTCTATAATTATAGAAGATTAATAATTATTAGATATAGATTAATAATTATATAATATTCTAATAATTTTACTGTTTTATACTTCACCTAACTATTTTTATTCTAAATGCATAAAACTCGCAGTCTAGTCACGTCCAAACTGCAAATGTTCACAGAAATATAGTTGGTTGTAGTACGGATTGTATGCATAAATACTGAATGTGCATCTAAATTTTGAAGGTAATTGATTAAGTAGGTTTTGAGATATCACGATCACCGTTTTGAAAAATCTAGTTTCGAGAAAATTTAAAGTTTTGCATATCAATTCTGATCATTCATATTATGCTATAACGTATGCTATAACGTATTTGGAAGGATCTTCAGTTTCAAGATATCTAGGCTCTCGAGTCTTCTAGAACCTAGAGCAGTGCTCGGAATGCTTTGGAACGCAACATTAGGCTCCGCCTCCTAACTATCGTCGCAGCGCCTCACTCCTCGCGTTGCTTCAATCGACTGTGAGCCGATCGAAGCAATGCGGGGAGCAAGATGCTGCGGCAATAATCAGGAGGCGGAGCCCAATGTTGCGTTCCGAAGCATTCCAAGCACTGGCCTAGAGTTTAGGTCCCACTTCTAAAGAACTATAGTAATTTCTCCCTAATTCGCGCTTAGATCGCGCACAAAAATGTACAATTTTGGAAGAAGTGATACGATTATTCGAACCTTACATTTCGTTCTGATAGTTGTTGACAATCGGTAACTATAAAAACGAACCGCAAGGCTCGAATAATCGTATCCCCTCTTCCTAAACTGACCATTTCTGTATCTATTTCTTGTTCATTTCTTGTATCCGGTCCCACGGGTTCGACCTTGCCTATATTTGGTCTCGCATCCTCTACATACGGCTTCGTGGGCCCGACTTCATGTACAGTGGGCCTCTCTGTATTCGGTCTCCTAAGTCTGACCTCATCTATACACATTGAATCCCACGAGTCTGACATCGTCTATTATATCTTCCAAGACTGCAATCACTTGTATCATGTTTTACGAAGCNTGGAACGCAACATTAGGCTCCGCCTCCTAACTATCGTCGCAGCGCCTCACTCCTCGCGTTGCTTCAATCGACTGTGAGCCGATCGAAGCAATGCGGGGAGCAAGATGCTGCGGCAATAATCAGGAGGCGGAGCCCAATGTTGCGTTCCGAAGCATTCCAAGCACTGGCCTAGAGTTTAGGTCCCACTTCTAAAGAACTATAGTAATTTCTCCCTAATTCGCGCTTAGATCGCGCACAAAAATGTACAATTTTGGAAGAAGTGATACGATTATTCGAACCTTACATTTCGTTCTGATAGTTGTTGACAATCGGTAACTATAAAAACGAACCGCAAGGCTCGAATAATCGTATCCCCTCTTCCTAAACTGACCATTTCTGTATCTATTTCTTGTTCATTTCTTGTATCCGGTCCCACGGGTTCGACCTTGCCTATATTTGGTCTCGCATCCTCTACATACGGCTTCGTGGGCCCGACTTCATGTACAGTGGGCCTCTCTGTATTCGGTCTCCTAAGTCTGACCTCATCTATACACATTGAATCCCACGAGTCTGACATCGTCTATTATATCTTCCAAGACTGCAATCACTTGTATCATGTTTTACGAAGCCAAAGTCATTTGTATCATGTTCCGGAGCTCTGGAGTCGCATGTAACGCGTCCCACGGGCCTAAAGTCTTCGACATTGTCTCCCACGACTGCCATATCATCTTTATCGTGTCCTATACGCTCGTGATTTAATATGCGATGCAGTCCACATGTCATTTTTTGTCTTCCCCCGAAGTGATATTAATTCCATCCTTCCAACACTGCATGATGTCTGAAATTTTGATCACTGCATCATAGTTATACCTAGGCTGCCGATTTTATGGGTTTGTCGTAATAAAGATTATCTGTAATTTGAAATAGTAGAAAGATTAATTACTTGCACTATACCTTTGAACTGCGATGATTAGCACTTTCTTTATCAACACTTTACTTATCAATAGCCTATTAATAAACGTTACAACAATTGAGCTGCATGAAAAAGACGTTCGATAATTTTCAATTAAGCAACAATTTCAGATGACGTTGTTACATTATATGGATACACAAATGGTACATAATTTGTTGAATTATATTTTGAAAGGACAGTAAGTACTTAAAGTATAATAGTAATTATGTCAAGTGCTGAATATCAACCCCAAAAATTCCTGCAATATCAAAATCATTTGATTAATGAAATCGAAACTATAAAGTAAAAATTTACCATAGGAAATTACCTTTTTTGTATTATAAAAATTCTAGCAAACATTCAATTTGTTCAATGTATTATCACAATAAAAATGAACTTCAAAACTAGTTAAGAAATAGTGTTTGCTTCTCATATGGTTTTATTTATTTATTTTATTTCCTTGTATTCCTAGATCTTGATAATAGAAGAATCAAATTTTGTTTAGAGTTTGCTAAGAAGATTGTAAACCTGACTCTAAAAGTAATGACGGCTCGTTTTGAGGGGCTTATACATATACAGGGTGTCTCAGGTTTTAATGTTCAAACTTTGTCAGTGTATTCTATGGCACAAAGTAAGAAAAAGATGTTATGTAAACATAGGTCGTATAGAGCTTTATTAAGAAATTATAACAAAAATTCAGAATAGGAATAGTAATGAACTTGCTGTTACTGCGAGCATTGGCTTGAATAGATCAGCGCATGCCGTGTGTTTATGTAAGCTGTGTTTATTAATACATTTCGAAATGTATTAATAACCGTAGTTGACAATACATGATTGACATCGATCGAAGACTTTTTTTTATTTTTTATTTTTTTTTTAGTTAATTACTATTCCTATTCTGAATTTTTGTTATAACTTCTTAATAAAGCTCTATATGACCGATGTTTACATAACATTTTTTTCTTACTCTGTGCCATAGAATATACTGACAAAGTTTGAACATTAAAACCTGGGACACCCTGTATGTAGTAAATGAAAATCACGTCACGGTTGAAATTAGTCGAACGTTAGTCGCCGCATCGGGCGGTCAAATTTAAGTCAAAATTATGTAAATGATTCGCGGCATTCCTTGAACTGGTTATTAGTGTCCCGTAACCTGTCAGGCGAGTTCTGTCGATTGCCACGCCGGGTAGATTGATCACGGTTTCATTACCTGTCCGGATTTACATACAATAAATCTTCCGTGGAATTTAATCGCGCCGCGACAAAACGCGTTTGGGATCGGAGGCGCGGATAAATTCGGTTGCTCGCGATCCAAATTACTATTTCCTGTGCCGCCTTTCTGGCCCATAGAGCAGAACCGTTCGGCTTGAATTACAAATCGAACTTCCTCGTAGAGACGCGTCTAAGTTTCGTTCCGAGAACGTTTTATCTGCAATAAATTTTTATTTATTCTGCCGCTTGCGAACGTTCCGCTTTCAATGCGAACTCATTTTAAAATAACTATGCTCCGCTATTTTATCTCGCTTCACCAGCCGCAGCGAGGAGATCGCAGGAAATTCTAAAGCGGACTGACAGCGGTCGTCGGACTACTATCTGTGTTCTAACATCTATCGTTAAAGAACAAGTTATGCGATCTACAGCTCTAAAGACAAAGTTGGATCAGGACCAGTCCATCGATCAGTCGGTTCCTGGAAGTGATGAATGCAGCAGAACAGCAGCATTAAGCCACTCGATGCCAAGAATCTGTCTCGACGCAGCCGGCGCCATTAGCCATCCTCCTGATATTTAATAAATACGTCGAATCGTCTATTTTTATTTGTCTTGCCATACAGAATGTGAGCTTACCAGCCATTGTTTACTTTACACCTCGAAAGAGGCCAATTGATTTTCAGTAGATTCCTCGCTAACTTCCCAACTTTTACCCAACATAATATGTTATGTACATCAGGGGTGTCAAACTCGCGGCCCGCGGGCCGCATGCGGCCCGAGATGAACGATTTTGCGGCCCAGTCAATATATCCGACGCAAAGTAAAAATAAAATAGAAATAGTCCCGGCCAATAAAATTTCTCCCGAAATAGGAAAGATAGTATCAGAGAAGAGACGTCAAGTATCAGGACGTAAACAATAATTTAACTTTATATATGTTTATTACAATGTACTAGTCAAAATAAAAATATTTGTTTCTATGAACATTGATCTTTTCTTTGCGGCCCATCTAAAGTTAAGCATTGTTTATTTGGTCCAAGTTAGCTTTTGAGTTTGACACCCCTGATGTATTATACATTAATAACGGAACTAAGAACATAATTACTTTCACGTATAAACCTCGCATAAAGTAGCAGAGACCTCTGAAGATTTCAAGAACTCTTCTATGGAAATTAATAAATGGCGAATTCCTATTCTTTAATTTTAGTTAATTTTCATCTTCAAAACCAGATCCACGATTTACTTTCGCTTCAACTCATTCGTGCTAATAGCAAACGTCTGGATCTCAGTTAAAATCAGGGTTCAATAAACTGTTGTGGACCATTGATCTTTTTTGTCTTTTATTTGATCTAATTAACTCTTTGCACTACGTTCTCAACGATTTTC